GCCAGTGCTGTGGTATAGCAGGTGAAGCTGCCGCCTGCAGTGCCGGCATCCCATATGGGGCACCAGTTTGAGTCCTGGCTGCTCCTCTTCTGATCCAGTTCTCTGCTATGGCCTGGGTTAGCAGTAGAAGATGGCCCAAGTCCTTGGGACCCTGTCACATGGAAGACCTGGAAGAAGCTCCTGGCTCCTGGCTTCGGATCAGCACAGCTCCAGCATTGTGACCATTTTGAGGAGTGAACTGTCTCCAACTCCACCTCAAATAAATTAAAAAAAAAAAAAAAGTTTTTTCTCAACATTTTTGAGAAGCAAATGGGGTTGGCGACAGAGACAGGACAGAGGTTATCTTCCACCTGTTGGTTTAATCTCCAAATGGCCACAACAGCTCAGCTGAAGCCAAGAGCCAGGAACTCCATCTTGGTTTCTGACCAGGTGATAGGGTCTAAGCACTTGGACCATCTCCCACTGCTTTCTTAGATGTATTAACCGGAAGCTGAGCAGCTGGGACTCCTGGCATTGCCAGCGGTGACTTACCTGTTGCACCATGCCACTAGCCCTCCTTTTCCACTTTTTAAGATGATTTTCATTTATTTTTTGATCGGTGAAATTGCAGACAGAGAGATGGAGAGACAGAGAAAACATTCCTTTCATCTGCTGGTTTCACTCCCCAATGACTGTACATTGTGGAGTTGGCCTATCTGAAAGCCAGGAGCCTCTGCCAGGTCTTCCACATGGTGCAGGGGCCAAGGACTTGGGCCATCCTCTCCTGCTTTCCCGGGTACATTAGCAGGGAGCTGGATTGAAAGTGGAGCGGCCAGGACTCAGACCTGTATCCATATGTGGTTCTGGCACTGCAGGTGGTGGCTTTACCCCCTACACCACAGCACCGGCCCTCAAGGATATCCGAGTTTTAGGAGACTTGTCCCATCATGGAACCACGGCAGTCTCTTGATGGGATGTTTTCCATTGTCCCTAAAAGTTGCTTTGTGCCCCCAGCAGCCAGGCCTTTCTCACACCCTCTGCCAGTCACCTATCTGATTTGTAACCTTGTAGATCATATTGATGGAGTCTCTATGTCTACAATTCTTCATTCAGCACGCTGCATGTGAGGTTTATGAAAGCCTGTGTTGTTGCTTGTATCAGCTTCTTCTATGAACATACTGGGCTAATTAGATACCTATGTGCTAAGTAAATAATATAAGTCATAGCCTAATAAATAGGACCCAAAACTGTGGAGCTTAAAAAAACAAAAAACCAGAATCTTCATACCTTCATAACCTTAGGGTATGTGAAACCATTTTTTACAAATGATACATTAATTTATTTAATTTTTAATTGCATGATTATTTATTCCCATTTAATGTGTGTCTATGTATATTAGGCAGCTGTTTTTAAAAGTTTAGACTGTTGGGGGTCAGCACTGTGGCATAGCAAGTCAGTAAAGCTGCCGCCTTCAGTGCCAGCATATATATGGGCACCGGTTTGAGTCCTGCTGCTCCACTTCCGATCCAGCTCTCTGCTATGGCCTGGGGAAGCAGAAGAAGATGGCCCAAGTGCTTGGGCCCCTGCACCCACGTGGGAGACCCGGAAGAAGCTCCTGGCTCCTGGCTTTGGATTGGCGCAGCTCCGGCCGTTGTGGTCATCTGGGGGAGTGAACCAGTGGATGGAAGACCTTTCTCTCTGTCTCTATCTCTCTCTGTAACTCTGTCTTTCAAATAAATGAAATACATCTTAGAAAAAGAAAAACTAAACAACAAAAACTCCTTAGACATGCACATTGACTCTAAAGGTGAATTTTCCTCTGTTGCAAATCATTCTTTAATATCTGGCTTTACCAACTATCAAGTGCGAGATAAAAAGGCTTACAATGTTAAGCAGGCTCCTACACTTTCTTAATCCTCGTCACCCCAGACTCCTTACCCTTGGCCACTGCTCCCCAACAAAAGGGAAAGACCACCATCTACGGTAGTGAGCCCTCACTAAGGCATCATCCGTGGCCACAGGCCAGTGATGTACCAACTTACAATAGAGCGAGAAGCACACAGGAAGCCAACCCCCAGGAAACTAATGAGGGAACTTACCTTTGGAGTCAGCATTTGGAAACAGCTGTCCATGGCACCTTGTTTTTGTGTGGAAGAGAAAGCAAATAGTTTCTGGCTTTTAAGTTTATTATACAATTCAGGTCTTCTTGTGAAGGGGATCCAAGAATACCTATCAGATAAAATAATTATTAGCTATTAGTTATCACGACCACAGCAATTGACCACGCATGTGAGCTGTGGGGTAGAATGAACCCTGGTGCTTACCCAGTGCCACCTTTAACAAGTATTCATAAAAAGACCCTTAGCATCTTAACTCAGGGGAGGTCACAAATTCACGTCCACCTCGGCTACAGATTTCTGAGAACTCTTCTCAACTGAAGGCGGTGGCTGTGAAGTGAGCAGGCCTCGGCCCTTACCCAGAATGTGGTTCAGCTGGTCCAGGTAGTGCTTCCCCGGGAAGATGGGTCTGTTGGAGAGCATCTCCCCAGGATGCAGCCTACAGACCAGATGTCGATGGACTTGGTGTAGCCCTGCAGCGGGAAGCAAGCGGGGGACACCTGGTGTCACACAGCACAGCGAGGTCTTCCCACACCATAGGACACGGCTCGGGAGAGGCTCAGCTTCTCCTCTCTGGAATCCCCAGGATGGCTTCACCCATTGTAAGGATCACGTGAAGAGTCAGGGAAAAATCTTTCCTCCATCCCTCGGTCCCCACAGAGCAGATGGCACTCTCATATTTTACCCATCTCTGTTTTCAATTTCTTTTTCTATCTCATTTTCAGGCACTAATTTTTCTTTGAAGGAATTCTGCTAAGTCAGGAGAACTCTAAATCCTTACAGTATAAAAAAGATGTTTTTCTAAGGAATATAAGTTGAATTTTATGGAAAATGTTGCAAACAGTAATAAATATAAGGAAATGTGGAAATAGCCAGAGAATAAAAATTTGGGTCAAGTGTTAAAACTTAGGGAAACAGTGAAATCTTTTTGGAAAACAAAGAATCAGTGATTAAGATTCACAGGATAAAATTGGGTTGGATTGCCAATCCGAAGCCAGGAGCCTCTTCCAGGTCTCCTATGTGGGTGCAGGGACTCAAGGACTTGAGTCCTCCTCTGCTTTCCCAGGCCACAGCAGAGAGCTGGATCAGAAGTGGAGCAGCCGGGTCTCAAATTGGTGCCCATATGGAATGCTGGCACTGTAGGCAGCAGCTTAACCTGCTATGGTACAGCACCGCCCCCGGCTTTTTAAGGTTTCTTTTGAAAGGCAAAGTTGGGGGTGGGTAGAGGATATCTCTTCCATCTGCTGGTTCACTCCCCAAATGGCTGCAATAGTCAGGGCTGGGCAGGCCAAACCCAGGAGCCAGGAGCTTCTTCCTGGTCTCCTACATGAGTGTGGAGGCCCAAGCACTTGAACCATCTTTGGGTGCTTTCCCAGGCGCATTAGCGGGGAGCTGCATCAGGAAGTAGAGCAGCCGGCCTTGAGCTGATGCCTGTATGGGATGCCAGTGTTGCAGGTGGAAGCTTAACCTGCTGCACCACAATGCTGGCCCCTCTTAAAATCCAAAATAATCTTTGTTTTTGGCCAAAGTTAAATAAAGGGAAATTTAAAACCAGCATGGACACGCACCCACACAGCACCAAGCAGAGGTGTGTTCTGATGCACTTCACAGAGAAGGAACAAAGCATCACTGCTGTGGTACTTACACAACATGCGTGGTTCTACAAACCAGCTTACCTGTGTTCTGCAAAAATGTCGCTGAGTGAATGCTGATCGTCTTAGGTGGGCTAAGGGTTCCCTGGCTTTAGGGAAGTACACCCCCTTTCTAGAAGTATCAGTGTTTCCCAAGGGGGCACGAGTGAAGTGACGGACCAGGCTGGTGCAGAGTGAAGACGGTCAGACCAAGAGGAGAGCGCGGAGAAGACGAGAGGAGAGAAAGGTGGGGAGCAAGGGGAAGGAAGGGTATGATGCCAACGGCAGGGGAATGAGGTGAGGGGTACAGGGGCAGTCACTGTACTCTCAGTTTTTCTATGGGCTTTAAAGATTTTTAAGTTAAAAAAAAAGAATAAAGTTGAACCGTCACTAGAAAGATGATCCTAGGCTAGAGGTGTTACAAGTAAATAAGAATCTCCACAAAGGTTCCCACACAGTAAGCCCATAGGTAGAAGGGCGAGAGCCTCTGGAACATGCAGAGAGCCCACCCTCTCTGGCTGTGTCCCCCTGGGGGGCAACTGGGGCACCTCAAGGTGGAATGGCGACACGAGACCAAGTAGCCACCAGATGAAAGACACACGGGCACCCCTTGCTAGGAACGACTGTCCACGGCTGGCTGGAGATGCAACCTGCTGTGTGGGATTATTTGTAACACAGTTATGAGAGTCAACACAGCACTTTCTTCTCTGAAACATCTGTTACACCAAATCCTTCTTTCTAGTGGAATTGATCTTAATGAGCTTACTTTTGGAACTAAAATGAACAAATGTAGGTTATCAGGGATAACTGCTTTAAATAATCCCATTTCCTAACTACAGTAATCTAACGGCTTCTCCTTACTTGCGGAGGACGGAGGAAGAGCACGGAGCCTGTGAGCTTAGGAGCCCTGCTCTTCCATTTCCACCCAGCCTCCCGACTTCACTCCTGGCTCCTGGGCCCCAGACTTACGGTGCAATGTCTGTTCACATGACTCCTCCCACACTACTTTCCAGCAGATGGGGCTGTGCTTAGGAATCTCAGAGTCCTGCGATACCAGACAAACGTAACCATGCCAGGCCCACCTAGCTACCTAATTTTGGCACGTTGCTCACACGCTCTCTGCAAACGAGGCATGAAAAGCCACCGTATTCACGGCAGCCTTCAACTTTTGCCTCTTGCTCATAACCTAACACACCCGTCACCCTTTCGCCTTCTGGTGCTTCTGCAGAGGTATTCAATCATTTCTGAGGAGACACACAGATCTTAGCAGAGCTCAGATGCGACAGGATGCGCTCTCCACAGCCACGTGGAGGCACAGGGGAAGGCCCTTTCCTGGCAAACACAAGTACCATGTAACTTTGAAGGAATCACAAGAGCTGTAGGTCTTCTTCAGGGAGAAGAGACATTCCTCATTATAAAGGTACAGCTGATTTAGACAGCACAGCCCTGGTTCGGTGCTGAGATGACCAGGAAGCCTCTGGTACACGCCCAGGCAGTGGTGTTGGTAGGTGCAGCTTCCACAGGCAGGACTGACCAAATGGCAGGACACAGACCACTTACAGTCACAGCGACCGGGAGGCTCAACCTGACGCGAGGACAGGTCAGCACCACCCCAGCCACGGTGCAGTGGCTGAACCAGGGCCCAGAAGTTCTAATGCAGTACGATGAGATAAAACAGTGCCTTGGCTCCAAGCCTCCACGCAAGTAGAAACAGGTTGGAGAGGGAGGCCTCCTACAACCCCATGCAAGGTTTTCTTTTTATGCAAACTTGGTCCTTACCTTGGAATTCAGGCATAATTTCTGGAGCCTGTACCAACGCGTGGCTACATACTCTGTCAGGAACCCTGTGTGATCATGGTCCGGATCCGCAACGCGGGCCAGGCCGAAGTCACAGATCTGAGAGGGAAAACAAAACAAAACACAGGACATGTCTTAAAGATTCTAAACAGCCTGACATCAGAACATCATAAAAATAAAAACAGAAAACAGCATGAACAAAAAGTAGTTTCTTCTACCACCACGCAGAAGACACTTGGTGACAAGTCTACAAATTCACAATTATTTAATCCTCCCAACAATCAGGATGGCAGTGATGATGTTCCACGCGTCAGGGACCAGGAAACAGGCTGGCTGAATCAATAGGGCACAGTGTAAGGGGCTCTCCTCGCTTTCACTGTCTGCTTAGCACACCACAGTCTTGCTTGGGTGAACTGAGAAAAATGGTTCTGGCTAAAGTTACGAAGCTACTTGGGGCCCTTTTTTGGCCCTGTTCTGCAGGGGCTCCTGGAATCATCACTGCCAGGACCCCCACTTGCCTTCTATTTCTCAAATTCCCGTTGGCCCATCAGTAGTTATTGCAAAGTTGCTTTCCACTTCCTTCCCCTTCTATGTAGTCAAATCTACTCCCAAAGGCGCAGCTCTGGCCATTGTGGCCAACTGGGGGAGTGAACCAGTGGATGTAAGACCTCCCTCTCTCTCTCTGTCTCTGCCTCTCCTTCTCTGTGTAATTCTTCAAGTAAATAAATAAATATTAAAAAAAAAACAAACAAACAAACCCACAACTCTTTTCAAGACTGGTCAAAAGACAGCTTGTCTCATTTTCCTTTTTTCTTTTTCTAACTGCTGCACCAAAGGTCAACCAAGTCTAACTCATACTACTCAGTCGAGTGCCCAGGCTACAAAACGTTGAGAGCAGTGACAGGGAGTGCTCCACACAACACAGAATGTGAGGGCAGTGACGGCGTGAGCTCCATGCCATGGAAGGGAAACTTGGTTAATCCTCCGCCTGTGGCGCCGGATTCTGTCCCAGTTGCTCCTCTTCCAGTCCAGTCTCTGCTGTGGCCCAGGAAGGCAGTGAAGGATGGCTCAAGTGCTTGGGCCCTGCACCTGCATGGGAGACCAGGAGAAGCACCTGGTTCCTGGCTTTGGATCGGCTGCAGCACGCCGGCTGTAGCAGCCATTTGGGGGGTGAATCAACGGAAGGAAGACCTTTCTCTCTGTCCCTCTCTCTCTTTTATTTATTTTATTTATTTCTTTATTTTTTTGACAGGCAGAGTGGATAGTGAGAGAGAGACAGAGAGAAAGGTCTTTCTTTGCCATTGGTTCACCCTCTAATGGCCACCACGGCTGGCACGCTGCGGCCGGCGCACCACGCTGATCCAATGGCAGGAGCCAGGTGCTTCTCCTGGTCTCCCATGCAGGTGCAGGGTCCAAGGACTTGGGCCATCCTCCACTGCACTCCTGGGCCACAGCAGAGAGTTGGCCTGGAAGAGGGGCAACCGGGACAGAATCCGGCGCCCCGATCAGGATTAGAACCTGGTGTGCCGGCGCCGCTAGGCGGAAGATTAGCCTAGTGAGCCGCAGCGACGGCCTCTCTGTCCCTCTCTAACTCTGCCTGTCAAAAAAAAAAAAAAAAAAAAAAAAAAAAGAGGATCTAGAAGAAGAAACACGGAATTACCCCTTAAACTTCAGCAGTCTTGTATGTCTATCTTCTGGGCTGAATAAATACAAACTTTGTTACCACAAAGGAAACCCAGCCCCAAAGACATTTTGCGTCTCCTAGTCCTCCTCCAAGCAGGCCAGTACCATATGTGTTCAGATCCCTGCTTCCCGGGCTTCCTCTTGGGGATTTCACGTGGTCAGTCCAGCAAAGGCAGAGGGCACAGTCTGGTGCAGATCACAGTCTCCCCTACCCCCCAGGCTCCCTGCCCTAGATCGGCTGCAAACATGCCAGCACAACTTCAAACAGACCCATAACCCCGTGTGGGTCTGGGGCCCTGAGAGGTCAGCATTGCGGGGCCTCGGGGCTGCGGGGAACAAGCCAGAAGAGCACGGGTGGAAACCAGAAACCAAAGCCAGCTTTTAGCTGCGAGCCCACACAGGGCTAAGCACCAAGGACAGCTGACGTCCTGAGTGTCAAGAGTAGGGAACACTTCAGCAACACGGAAACCCATGGTAAAGGGGAAGAAATGACACAACTCCCTGCTTGAAAACCCAGAAGGACCTTAACAGTGCGAGGTCGGGGGGGCCACAGGGCCTGCAGGAAGGGTGTCCGTCACCACAGGGACTGAGTGTGTGAGTCTGAGACTAAGGTTCCAGACGGCAGAAGCCCCCCGTCTGTCAGCAGCACTTCGTCCACATCACGCTGGACGCTGGGCCGTATGTACCCTGTCCTATTTGGACGTGTTCACTGTGACCAATCAGTGACTTCAGTTCTCACTCACCTTCTCTCCTGAATAGTTAGACACGGGTGAATGATATGCACTCCACACGTATGTGAACTGCAATGATTTGAATACCTAACAACATCCTGTGTGGGGCTGGCATTTGGCACAGCAGTTAAGACACGGCCTGGCACGCTGCTATCACATACTGAAGTGCCTGCTTAGAGCCCCAGCTACTCTATTTTTTTATTAAAGGATTTATTTGAGAGTTACAGAGAGATAGGGAGAGACATGGGGAGATCTCCCGTCCACTGGTCCATTCCCCAGTTGGCCACAATGGCCAGGCTGAATCCAGGAACTATATCTACTAGGTCTTTCATGTGGGTGCAGGGGCCCAAACATTTGGGCCATCTTCTGCTTTCCTAGGTCATCAGCAGGAAGCTGGATTGGAAGCGGAGCAGCCAGGACTGAACAGGCAACCTGTATGGGATGCTGGAGCTGGCTTTACCTGCTATGCCACAATGCTGGACTTGCTACTTCCACTTCTGATCCAGCCTCCTGCTAATGCACAACTTGGGAGGCAGAATATCAGTGGTTCAAATATTTAGGTCCCTGCCATCCACTTGGGAGATCCGAATTCCTGGCTCCTGGCTTCGGCCTGGCCCAGTCCGGCTGTTGTGGACATTTGGGGAGTGAACCAGCAGATGGAAAATTTCTCTGTTTTCCTCTCTCTGCCTTTCAAATAAAATGAAAATAAAAACTAAGTACACACACACAAACACACACTCTATATGTGGATACATAGTTACCCAGTTGTGTTTCTATGTGTTTAATTTTGAAAACCATGCCTGGATTAAGCAGATGATCAATACACACACACACACACACACACACACACACATATGAAATCAGTGTGGGTATAACATTTGACAAAGAGATGAATAAAATGGCCCTAAGTAAAGACAGCCCATCAACAGTGAAGAGATAACAAAGTATTTTGGTTCTGACTCTTATTTTAAGGATGAACCGTTTTCAAGTAAAAATAAGAGCCAATTTTTCCCTAAAATATTATATACTGAGAATGTCTCTCTAAAAACAAACAGAAACAATCTGCTGTAATGGGGGGGGGGGGGTGATAAGACACTGCACGGAAAAAAAGCACAAGGAAACATTCAAATATTTATTATGATTTTATAAGAAAATCACTAAAGGTCAAAAACCTAGTATAGCCATTCCTAAAAGCAGCTTCGTTCTTCACGCGTCCACCTGGCTTTTACTAGGACATATGCGGGAAAGGAGTAGGTGACAGCCTGGGCAGAACAAGTGGGCAACAGGAGGCTCCAAGAGCGGACAGCGTCCCATCTCCCACCCACGTGTACCTGGTGAAGGAAGCCACCCTCCGTACCTCCTTACTCAACACCAGCCACGCGGCTTCAGAGAGGAGTACACAAGCTGCCCACGGCACGACAGAGCCCAGGCGTCTCTCAGAGTCACAGCAGACTCCGCGATCACCCCTCATCCACTGCTGTGGCCACGCAAAGGAAGACTCAACGTTCTGTGCACTAGGCCCTCATTTCGCATCTTCAGGCCTACTGTGCCCTTTGCTTACCCAAGGAAAAACTGCTCTTACCCAGAGGGCCAGCATACACACCACCTTCCTCCTGCCGCCTCTCACAGCCCCAGGCACAACCAGCCCACTCTGGGCTTTGCTTTTGCACACTCGTTTCATATTTCACGACTGTGTACTGACTATCACCTCTGACCCATTGGTGTCCAGAGTTCAGGGACATACGCTTGTCTCCCTTCCTGGTGTGCCTTTCACAGTTCCTCGCAGGAACGTCTGCTAACTGAACTGGGAGAAGTGACTACTGCTACACATCTATATGTACTTTTGTAATGGCTTCAGATATAATTCACATACTGTATAATTCACCCATTTAAAATGTACAGCTTCGATAACCATGAAATCATAAACCATTCCCACTATCCAATTTGAGAACATTTTTATCATCTCAGAAAAGAACTAGCAGGCCACTCCACTCTCCCCTACACCAATCAGCCTAGAGAACCACCACGCTACCTCTGCTTCCACAGATTTGCCTGCTCCGGACATTTCACATAAGCACCATGTTTTCTCATGGGCTTTTCTCACAGGCACCGTGTTTGCAAGATTCAGCCACCATGTTAGTCCTACTCCATTCCTCTTTATCCCACTGCATGGACCTACTGCACTGTATTCTTCCATCATCACATGCCATCTGGATTGCTCTCACTTTTGGCCATAACTTAATATTCTTATGAATATTTGCATGCAAGGTTTTGAGTGGACACATGCTTCCATTTCACCCAGACTGCTAGAGTGGAATCCCTGCCACCATCACTTATTATTTGGCTTTTCAATTGTAATTATTCTAGGGAGTGCAGAGTGGTATCTCGTAGTGACCTTTGCATTTCTCAACTGACTAATGATATCAAGCATCTTTTCATGTGCTTACTGGTCCTCTGTATTTCTTCCTTAGCAAAATGTTTGTTCAGATCTTTAGTTCATTTTTAACTTCAGCCATTCCCCTTTTTATTAGAGTTCTACGAGTCCTTCATATACTCTAGTTGTAATTCCCCTATGACAAATATGATCTGCAAACGTCTTCTCTTACCCAGTGGGTTGTCTTCACTTTCTTAATGAAACCACTAGGAAACTTTGTACGATAATTTTGAGGAATCCATTTACCTTTTCCTTTTGTTGCTTCGAGTTTTTTGGTGTTGTGTCTAAGAAGCTTTACCTAACACAAGATCGTAAAGATCTACTTCTGTGGTTTTTTGTTGTTGTTGTTCAAATTCTGTTTACTTATTTTTGTATTATTTGAAAGGTGGAGAGACAGAGATCTTCCATCTACTGGTCCACTCCCCAAATTCCCCAACGCTGGGGCTGGTTCAGGCTGAAGCCAGGAACCTGGAGCTCAACCTGGTCTCCCAGGTGGGTGGCAGGGACCCAAGTACTCAAACCATCACCTGCTGGCCTCCGATGCAATTTCCTCTTTCTCCTGTATGTGGGTATTTATTGTCCCGGCACCATCTGCTGAAAAGACTGTTCTTTCCCCAGTGAGCAGACCTAGCATCCTTGTGAAACAGTCAGCCATCGACATAGAGGTTTCTCTGTCTCCTTAGTTTCTTTTTATTTCAGAGACAGACACAGACAGAGATGGACAGATAACACAGATAAGACAGAGAGCGCACTTCCATCCTCTAGTTCATTTTCCGAGTTACCCACAATGGCTCGGGGTTGAAGCTGGGAGCCAGGAGCTTATTTTAGGCTTCCCTGTAGGTAGCAGGAACCTAATTACTTGAGCTATCACCACTGCCTCCCAGGGTTCACATTAGCAGGAAGGAGTGAAGAGCCAGAGCTCGGACCTGAAAAAAGGCATTGTGAAATGGGATGCGGGCGTCTTAAGCCAATGTTTGTCCCCTTGTGTAGGTTCAGTAGATCAAATCCACACCCTTTCAGGGCATCTAAGACATCCACAGTTCTTCCTCCGTATTTAGCTCTGCCATCTATTAAAACAGAAACAACGTCCTACATATCTTCGGAAGAAATCTGAGGACTGTAAAGACTGGGTTTTCCCATTTATCTGGAATACCTTAGTAGGTATTAAAATCAGGGAGGTTACATTTTCTACTGATGGTTTTTTTTTTTTGACAGGCAGAGTGGACAGTGAGAGAACAGAGAAAGGTCTTCCTTCCATTGGTTCACCCTCCAATGGCTGCTGTGGCCGGCACACCGTGCTGATCCTAAGCCAGGAGCCAGTGCTTCTCCTGGTCTCCCATGTGGTTGCAGAGCCCAAGCACTTGGGCCATCCTCCACTGCACTCCCGGACCACAGCAGAGAGCTGGACTGGAAGAGGAGCAACCGGGACAGAATCCGGCGCCCTGACTGGGACTAGAATCTGGTGTGCCGGCGCCACAGGCGGAAGATTAGCCTAGTGAGCTGCGGCGCCAGTCTTATTAATGGTTTTTTAAAAGATTTATTCATTTACTTGAAAGGCAGAATGATTTGCAGGAAAGGACGAACAGAGAGAGATGTGCATCTTCTGTCCACTGGTTCACTCCCAAATGGCCACAACAGCTGGGGCTGGCACCAGGCTGAAGTCAGGAGCCAGGAACTCCATCTGGGTCTCCCACATGGGTGGCAGGGACTCAAATACTTGAGCCATCAATCACAGCTTCCAGGAGCATCACCAGGAAGCTGCATCAGAAGCAGGGTAGCCAGGATTTGAACCGGCACTCCAAAACATGGAATGTAGGCATCCTGTATCTGAATGCCATGCCAGCTCCTCTTCAGACGCTAGCTTCCTGCTAATAAAGTGCACCCTGGGAGGCAGCAGGTGATAGCTTAAGTACCTGGGTCTCTGCCACTGTCACTGTCACTGTCACTGCCTCTGTCACTGTCGCTTGTTCTCTTGCTTGCTCTGCTTTTCAAATAATAATTCTTACTAATGCAGAATCTCAGATCTCATCAAAACACAGCATTTTCATTAACATAAAAAACCTTAGGGTTCGGTGTTATGGCGCAGGGGGTTAATGCCCTGGCCTGAAGCGCTGGCATCCCATGAGGGCGCCAATTCGAGACCCAAGCTGCTCCACTTTCAATTCAGCTCTCTGCTATGGCCTGGGAATGCAGTAGAAGATGGCCTGGGTCCTTGGGCCCCTGCACCTGCATAGGAGACCTGAAAAAGCTTCTGGCTCCTGGCTTCGGATCGGCGCAGCTCCAGCTGTTGCGGCCAACTGGGGAGGTGAACCATTGGATAGAAGACATCTCTCTCTCTCCTCTCTCTCTCTCTCCCTCTCCCTCTCCCTCTCCTCTCTGTGTAACTCTGGCTTTCAATAAATAAGTCTTAAAAAAAAACCTTACACACAAAATACATATTATTATATATGCATATATTTACATACATGAAGTATAGAAGCACAGGTAAAAAACTGGATAAAGGTACACCAATCTGTTATGGTGGTTAGTTATCTCTGGGGAGGAAAAGGGTAATGAGAAGGATGAGGAAGAGGAGGACTTGCATTTTTTCCAGAAATGCCATTTTCACGTATTTCTGGTATAATTTTAAACACAAATACAACCACGGCTTGGCAAGCATTCCCCCCCTATTTTCCCACACATCATGCAGGAGTCCCAAGCTGGCTGACCTTGAGATCACAGGTGGTGTTGAGCAGCAGGTTGGAAGGCTTGAGGTCACGGTGCAGAACGTTGGCTGAATGGATGTATTTTAACCCTCTGAGGATCTGGTAGAGAAAATAGCAGATATGGTCGTTGCTGAGGTGCTGTGTCTTCAAGAGCTTGTAAAGATCTGTTTCCATGAGGTCCTGGACTATGTATCTGTTTGCACAGGTTAAGTCAAACACTGATGGCAAAGCACAGCAGACAAGACGCACGTCACTCCACTGTCGCACTGCGAGTTCTGAAGGCAAAGGAGAAACTGAGAAAGACTTGGTGTCCCTTCCACCAAGGACTCTCAAGTAGTTAATTCCTGTCAATTGGACTAGACAACAGGCACAGAGCAGGCTGGCAGACCCGGCTAGCCGGCCATCCACTGCCAACAAATACCTGTGAGGCTTGCTGGAAGAGGCTGGGAGAGTGGCTGGCGACACCCCAGGCTGCTCCTCTGTCCCAGCATCAGTTTGGAATTTTACTGCTCCTTCTCCCTCCTTCTTGCCCCCATCTGCACCAAGATCAACCATAAAAGTTCAGAAAGATCAGTCTAGAGATATGCTGTTGCTAAATCCTGTCCACAGTCTGCTTTCTGGCTCCCTGGAGACCCTGGGAAGTCAGGGGAGGCTTGTGCTGGTTTTGCTCCTCATGCTTTCTTGCCCTGCCCTGCATCTCAGCACCCAAACCTGAGCTGCACTAACAGTCTTCTTTCTTACAGAAAGAAAGTTAAAAGCCTGAGCTTTTAACTCCACCCTAATAATTCAGTTAGCAGAGCCGAGGGCTTCTTTTATTAATTTCTACGCAACTCCTTTCTATTTGCTGTCTCCTACAGATTCACGCCAGATGAGAAGCAGCGTGAGCGTGTAACTACAAGGAGGCCTGACTTAACCCCTGTCATCTGCCAGACATATTTTCACCCTTCTCCTTCTCTCAAAGGACCTTTCCTACCCAGGCAGCTTCGTCGGGCCTCCTCAGTCCGGGTTTCTGAATGCTGGTAGAGATCACAGGTGCTTTCAGGGCTGGGTTGCCTTAACGAGGCTGAGTCCTACAGAGAGGGTACTCACGGTCTGAGATCAGGACGGAACTGATGGAACCAGTGGGCCGTCAGGATCTCCTTTCCTGCTCTACTTACTGCTTTTTCCGTTTCCCCAACCAAGTAGCTCGTCCCTGTGATGACTGGAACGCATCCACCAAGATCTCCAACAACCACACTTAGAGCACTTCTCCTCTCCCCCAGCACACCCAGGAGATTTCAAGTGGTGTTCACTCAGCGAGGTGAGGCCGAGCATGGGTTAGCTGCCAGGAAAGGATACACATCTTTCATCTGCTCAATGGTTGGGGCTCGAATAATGTCATTGATTCCAATGATGTTCTCATGTCTGAAGCGCAGTAAGATTTTTATCTCCCTCAGGTTCGCTGGCAGTAGGTCTGGTGCTCAAAAGGACTGATTTTCTTGATAGCCACTCGAACTTTGTTGACATTATCATAAGCAGAGCTTAAAAAGAGAGAGAGAGACAGCATTAAAAACAGCACACAGAATACACAAACTGGTAAAGCACTGGATCTGCAATACAGTGCCCAGGTATCTCTTTCACACCCGTGAAGGCAGCACAGCCACAGGAAGGCCTCCGCTCAGGCGGAAAGCTGCTGACACAGGACAGCACAGACCGCACCTCGAGCTCCACCCCGGGGCCTGGCCTGAGCACTGGGTTGCATGTCCCTCTGCATGAATCAGAGACACAAGCAAGCACATTCCGGCCACACAGATCGCCCTGCCTCCAAACAATGTCTGACTATTGGGTCCGACTCCTCGGACTCCGCAGAAACGTGCAAGTGACCATCAACCACGCGTTCTGTCCCTAACAAAACCAACCCAGGTGGAGACCTTGATTGTTTCTGCCAACTCTGTCTCACCTGAAAAATGAGGCACCTGTTTTTCCCCTCTACGAAACTGAACCATGATGTTTGTGTAGTTTATGATAAAATCTATAAAGTATTCTTTAAAAATACTTTCGCAGCCATAACATGCAGCTAGTTCTTTCCAAGTTGTCCGTAAGGCCTGACTTAATAGAATTCCAAGTAGAGGCTGGCACCGGCACACGGGTTCTAGTCCCCGTTGTGGCGCCGGATTCTTTCCCGGTTGCCCTCTTCCAGGCCAGCTCTCTGCTGTAGCCAGGGCAGGCAGTGGAGGATGGCCCAGGTGCTTGGGCCCTGTACCCACATGGGTACAGGCAGAGTGGATAGTGAGAGAGAGAGACAGAGAGAAAGGTCATCCTTTTGCCGTTGGTTCACCCTCCAATGGCCGCCACGGCTGGCGCGCTGCGGCCGGCGCACCGCACTGATCCGAAGCCAGGAGCCAGTGCTTCTCCTGGTCTCCCATGGGGTGCAGGGCCCAAGCACTTGGGCCATCCTCCACTGCACTCCCGGGCCACAGCAGAGAGCTGGCCTGGAAGAGGGGCAACCGGGGAAAGAATCCAGCGCCGCGACGGGGACTAGAACCTGGTATGCCGGCGCCGCTAGGTGGAGGATCAGCCTATTGAGCCGCGGAGTCGGCCTAAAATAAATCTTAAAAAAAAAAAAAAAAAAAAAACTGCAGAAGGGCAGGCTTTTGGTCAGCAATTAAAACCATCACTTGAGACCCTCACATCCCACACGAGAGTGCCTATCTAAGAAGTAGACCCTGGGAGGCAGCAGGTTCCTGCCGCCCACATGAGATCTGGGTTGCACTCTCAGCCCAGCTGGGCTATTGTAGGGGTTTGGGGAGTGAACCAGAGGGTGGCAGCTCTTTTTATCTGTCTGATCTCTCTATTCTGTCTATCAAACACAAAGTAACAATTTTTTTTTTTTCCCAAGAGTAGCTCTTGGTTACTGTGCCCCTGTTTTATCAACACTCAGTGATGCAATGAATAACCACCTTGGGCATCCTCTTAGGTGGGAGTGAAGTCATTCTCCTCCCATCCCACTTGAAAAGAAGGGGAGGCCCTGTCCGCTGAGTGTGGTCTGCTTCTGCCTGGCCGGTTACCTGCCCATTTTGCTGCCTTTGTTCACGCAATCACAGAGGTCCTCACAAATGAGCTTCTTGTTGATTTTCTTTGTTATGTATTTTGTCAGCATTCCTTTCACCACCTATCAGCTTGTGTCTTCAAACCATTGTGCGTGGCCACCCTGTTGTCCTTCACCTTTTCTCCCCAAGACAGCCAGACTGCAGCTTTCTGCAGTGTTCCTGGATCAGTTTACAGCTACAGTTTGGTTCTTAATGCAATCCATAACTGTATTGTCTTCGGATGGGTTAACTTAAAGATATTTACATTTTTTTCTTTAAACTGATAAATGTGATCTTTCTAAAAATAAAAATTCAAAGTTAAATAAGCTGTTCCAGGTTAAGACAATGAAGTTTCTTAACTCATCCCTATAAGGCCAATAATCCCTGTATTGTGCAAACATGACTAGGATATAACACACAGACAGATGATGAAGGTTGAAAAGAAAAAACATTCTAAAGACAACTCCACTTTCTAAGCACAAGCTTGAAAATCAACTGAAAACAAATGAGCAGACATGATTTCACAACACAGCAAAACACTACATTATGACCAGGTGGTAATATCACAGGAATCCAAAGGCGGTTCACTCAGACAGACATCATATGGAACAGCCGTTTCTCCACAGAAGATCTACAAATAGCCAAGCAGCACAAGGAAAGACACTCCCGTTACCAATCATTAAAGACAGACAGCTCCAGTGACCGGCCACCTCACACGCATCAGAAACAAAACCAGAGCCAGCAAGGTTGCAGAAATCAGGATTTTTGTGCACCTTTGGAGGGCACCTACAATGGCTCCTGAAAAGTGAAAACCTTAACTGCTATTGATCCAGAAATCTCACCTTTGGTTATATACCCAAAAGAACTGATACTAGCACACCCACACCCACTGCATCACTATGCACGATAGCTGATAGCCAAGACATGTCGGGCAGGTGTTTGGCCGGGCAGTTAAAAACTGGCTGGGGTACCTGGTTTAAAGTTCCAGTTGATGGGCACCCTGGGAAGCAGCAAGTGATATCTCAGGTAGGTGGGTCCTGTCACTCACGTGGAAGATCCCGATGGACCTCCTGGCTCCTGGTATCAACCTAGCCCAGCCCTAACCACTACAGGCATTTGGGGGAGTGGACAGCCAGATGCTGTCATAGGGGAGGGGGAGGGGAATAGGTTGAGCATGTTCTAATAATTAACACAACATGCTTGAATACTGCAACAAATATTACTCAGCCTTTTAGAAGAACATTCAACATCCTTTCATGATTTTTTTTTTTTTTTTGGACAGGCAGAGTGGACAGTGAGAGAGAGAGACAGAGAAAAAGGTCTTCCTTTGCCATTGGTTCACCCTCCAATGGCCGCCGCGGTCCACGCGCTGCGCTGATCCGATGGCAGGAGCCAGGTATTTATCCTGGTCTCCCATGGGGTGCAGGGCCCAAGGACTTGGGCCATCCTCCACTGCACTCCCAGGCCACAGCAGAGAGCTGGCCTGGAAGAGGGGCAACCGGGACAGAATCCAGCGCCCCGACCGCGACTAGAACCCGGTGTGCCGGCGCCGCAAGGTGGAAGATTAGCCTATTGAGCCACGGCGCCGGCCAACATCCTTTCATGATTAAAAACTCTCAAGAAATTACGTATAGAAGGAACAAGAAAGCCCACATCTAACATCATACTCAACAGTAGAAAGCCGAAAGCTTTCTCTAAGATCAAGAGCCACGTGGGGTGACCATTTTCAACCTGTATTCAAGAAATCAGAGCAACTAAACAAGCAATAAAAGGCATCCAAGCTGGAATGAAGGTTGAATTGTCTGCAGATTATGTGACTGTATATAGAGAAAATCCTAAAGACTTCATCAAAACACCATTATAATAAATGAATTTAGTGAAGTAGCAGGATATAAAACCAACATACAGCATTAGTTGTGTTTCTATACAATAACAATCAAAAAATGAAGAGAAGAACTCCATTTCCAACAGCATCAATAAAATATTTAGAAATAAATTTAGCCAAGAAGGGGAAAGGAGTGTATACTGAAAATGATGTCACTGATTAAAGAAACGGAGAAAACACAAATAGTCAAGTCATCTCGAACAGTAAGAATAAAGGTGGAGGCATCATCTGACTTCAAAAGTGCTACATAGTAATCAAAAGTAATCAGAAGGGGACAAGGACAACAGGAAGATATCGCGGGATGAAAAAGTTTGAAGATATGTTCATGTAATGGACACTGTAATGTATCAGGTACTATATCAACACTGTTAGAGATCAGATCTTCAATGTTTCAACGCAAAAAATGAGGTGATGAATATACTAGCTTGATTTATTTCTCAGCATACATATATTATCAAACACTTGTATGCTGTAAATACAGCTTTTATCGGTCAATTACATTACCTTAATAAAACCAAGGCAGGAGTAGAACTAGTATGCTACTGGCGGAGAGACATGCAGGCCAAGGCAAATGAGAGAATAGGGAGGTCAGAAATAAATCCACAGGGCTGGCACTGTGGCACAGTAGGTTAAACATCTGCCTATAGTGTTGGTATCCTATATGGATGCCAGTTTGAGTCCTGGTTGCTCCACCTCTGATCCAGCTCCCTGCTAATGCGCCTGGGAAAACAGCAGAATATGGCTCAAGTGCTTGGGCCCCTGCATCCATGTGGGAGACCCAGAAGAAAAGCTCCTGCTTTCTGGTTTTGGATGGGACCAGCTCCAGCCATTGTGGCCATCTGGGGAGTGAATCAGCAGATAGAATACCTCTCTCTCCCTCTCTCTCTCTCTGTAATTCTGCCTCTCAAGTCAATAAATAAATCTTGGGGTTGACACTGTTGGCAACAGGTAAAGCTGCCGCCTGCAGTGCTGGTATCCCATATAGGCACAGGTTGAGTCCTGACTGCTCCACTTCCAACCCAGCTCCCTGGTATGGCCTTGGAAAGCAGCAGAAGATGGCCCAAGTCTTTGGGGCCCCTGCACCCATGTGGGAGACCTAGAAGAAGCTTTTTGCTCCTGGCTTTGGATCCACACAGCTCAGACTGCTGCAGTCATCTGGGGAGTCAATCAGCGGATGGAAGACCTCTGTCTCTCTGCCTCTGCCTCTCTGTAACTCTGCCCTTCAAATAAATAAATCTTAAATAAATAAATAAATAAATAAATCTTAAAAAGAAAGAAATCCATGCATCTATGGTCATGCAATCTTTGACAATGATGCCAAGAACACACACTGGAGAGAAAACAGTCTTCAATAAATGATACTGGGAAAAGTGGATTCCCACAAGAAGTATGAAATTACATCCTAGCCGGCGCCGTGGCTCAACAGGCTAATCTTCCGCCTTGCGGCACCAGCACACCGCGTTCTAGTCCCGGTCAGGGCGCCGGATTCTGTCCCGGTTGCCC